AATTTACGCATGATATTAATCCTTAATTTTACTCGGGTCCCATGCGATTACCTATACGAAGTAATACTTATGATCTTTTGATTTTGAAATCACTCGCATGATTTCAGAACAAATTGCGCTCCACTCAGTTCAACTATCATTACATATCTCAGGGCTCAGTGTGCTGGAGACCCTGTATCTTGTACTTCTCTAACTTGTACACAACTTCCCCGATAGGCAAACTCTTGTCCTCCATGCCATTGATCTCCATCTTAGAAGAACTAGTGGCGATTTTCTTGAACACAATTCGGGTACATTTGAAGAGTTTTGGCTACTGATGGCTACTTCATTGGCCCTGCACTGCGCCCTATCTCCTTTGAGATGCTAACATCCATGTTTCCCAAAGAAAGTTGTATTACAGCTGCAGCCAAACTGACTCCTAATCTTGTTCGCAAAGTACATGGGTATATTTGAAACTAACTTCTTTAACTTCAAATGAAGGGTAATTTGAAGATGCTGTAATTTTAATGCTATTAGTCAAACTGTCATAACATCATTAGTTGCATTTTAGAGGGGGCACTTAATATATTTTGACTTAGAATTAAATTATTTTGGTCTTTGAAATTTTATAGCAAGCCAATTAATATCATTTGAGCATAGATATTACAGTTCCGAGTAAAAGACTATTCATTCCTTATAATATGTAGGTAAAAGAAGAGCAGAGCATCGGCTGCTATGGTTAGGAGACGGAACGCTAACTAAGAGTATCACAATGGTGGAGCCATTATTCAAAGAAATCCCATTTTTCAATATATTTGAGAAAACAGTGTAAAACATTCTCCAGAAACAGCGAAATTGCCTTTTGTGGTCGCAGTCTCCTATAAAGAACGTTTCTAGGAATTTCGTAACCCTCATACCGCTTTCAACCAACTAACACAATGCAAATGATAGTGTTATAAAATTCTTAGGTTGTCTTTTGCAGTGATCAGTGCGTTATGTACGTCATTTGCTGGTCAAACCTGTGGTCAACCTGGCGTTCCCCATGTGTGACTGCTTAATACAGGTTCGACTGTATATGCCTTACTTGTATTAAAACTCGCGCAGTACTAGAATTCGCGCACAATGTAAGTGCGCGAAATTTCATACTGCGCCAAATATAATCCGCGCGAAAAGGTTTTAAATTGAATATTAACTTTATTGACAACTTAAGAATTTAGAAATACACTACGAAGTACTATTACATATGGTAATATTACAACAGTTAACAGTATCCCTGGATACTAAAGAGTTTTTCAGTGAGAATTAGAGGTTGGTGTTTAAAAAGGAAAGTTATCCCTTCTATTTATGCGTACACAAATTACCATCAAAAGTTAGAAATAATAAATTACTTCATCATCATCAGTCTTTAACCTGAGAAATTTCTGTCGGGATTCTTTCTGGTTCCATGTAATATTCCACCAGATATACTTCCATCTTCTTATAAATTTCTAAGCTCGCTTTATTTTGGATGACTGCCAATGAAATTGGTACAGTCACAAATCGTGAACGGTATTCATCCCGATAAAATTTCAGTACATTTGAGGATCAGTGTACTGACTCCAACCCACGCCAAATGGGTTGTGCAATTTTACGACTTCATGCAGTTGAACAGGGAGATTGTTGTAAGGAGTTGGAGACGTTCAGGGGTGAGCGCCGCACTCGAGGAGCCTAAAAAAAGAGAGGACCCTTCCGAACTGTAAAGACACTTGATAAGAAGTTTTTGTTTCTTTTGGATAATATCTTTTTTATTTTGTATTTTCTTCACTAATTACTATTATTGTTAATGTTATCATATGTAATACCATCTGTGTAAATGGAATACAAATAAATTGTTGTTGTCGCTGTTCTTGATTTCACCTAACTGAACAAACCATGCGACATTCTTCTATACAAAAAAAAATGCTTGAAAAAATGTGCTAGCTGCGGGCGGTGAAAAACTTGCTTTAGGTTTACGCGATTTCTGTGCTACTCTTTAATTGTGTAATGACAAAAAAGTTAACTGCATCTGTTAACTCCAGTAAAGAAACCGAACAAGAAAAATGTCCTGCGCGAATTTAAAGCTGCGCGAATAAGTCTTCTATAAGGTGCGCGAAATTAAATCGCGCGAAATTAAAACTGAGCGAAAATGAGTACCACGCGAATTTTAATACAAGTAAGGTAACTAATATTGGATATCACGTGGTTTAGGGATGTTCTTGTGCCTATTTTGTTACCTGAAAATTCTCCCATTGAAGTTAACCTTGGAGTGTGCACTAGACGCCAATTCAAGAACTGGAAATGATACTAAAAAAGGGTGGGTAGAGGGGAGGGGTAAATAGGAGGGCAGAAGTTTTCTGTGACCTTTCAGTTAATTAATGTTCAGTCTCATAAAACTTTAAGTGAAATGGGTTAGTTTCATGCCCATTTTCGAGTCCGCTTAAAGTTTATAATCTACAATAAGCAAGGATGTGAAGAAGAGAAATCACCCTTTGCTCTTACAGCTCTTTTCTTTTAGTGAACAGGCTTTTACGGTAATGGTTTTCATCGGTACGTTAACAGTAGGAGGCTGACGGTACGTTAACAAATGGAGGCTGACTCGATAACCTCGAGGTTTTCTTAGCCTCCATGCTCGAACTATAGAACACTGTTACGTTTAATTTTTTACATATGTATCCTTTTCTGTTTTTTTTATTTTTATGTTAATATTGTAACTAAAACCTAAGTGCTAAATAAAATAAAGTTGAAGTTGAAAGTTGAAATAGAAGCGATTCACAATATTGGGTTTGTGCTTTACATAAATATTTTTAAGTTCACACGAAATATAACTGTAAACTGCAACAAGCCTGGTTATTGTTTATGCGCGCCCCAGCGCTTCAAGCCTGACTGACACTCGATGCCAAAACTCAACCTCGTTCCCACACTATGTCCACCACATTGCTTTACGCCGATTAAAAACTGTTATGTAACGACTATTGTGCATTTGCCTGCGCAGGAAACACCAAACAGAATTTCTGATTCTGGCCCTTGAGGGCCAGAGTAATAATTAAGACTTTGTCTCTGACGAAGGCGCGGTAGTAAGTATTATCATAGCCTCTGAGCAGGTTGTTGTTTGGTCTCGTCACGCAACGTTGGAGAGACAGCGTTGCGTGACTAGTTCAAATTAGGGCTGTGGAGGGGACTGCAGGAAGCGTGGTACCCAATAAAGTTTATTTTTGCCAACAGTTATTCGGACACCGGTACATCAGCGGGAAACATCAGTTACCTAGTGTCCCATTTCAACCCACGTATCCAAAAAAATAACTCTTGCATGCTGCGCATGCCTATGTTTTAAACAGATGAATAAAGCCTGATAGTTTCGAAAGAAACTGTTTGGGGCTGCGTCGGTGGGAGTAACGAAATAATTTGGATATATCAACAAAGTTGAAATGGTAAATTGGCCACCGTAACGATTACAAAAGCTGACGTTTCGAGCGTTAGCCCTTCGTATACTGCCATATTTGGGCTGATAGTCATCTTGTCATATTTTCATTGGTTATTGCATGTTATAATGACAATCGATCTAATGTCCAAGGAGTTCTGAGAAAAAAAATCAAATCAACTTTATGCTTGGCTACAACAGCGACATAAGTTGTTGAAGCAGAATCAGTCCACTCTCATCATGGTCGATTTTCATTAAAATCGGATACTCACCGCGGTAACTTTAGCCAGAAAATCATATGCATCCTTCCAACTCATTAGGAGCCACACAGAGGAGGTTCGTTTGTAGATTTCATTTGCTTCCGTCTTTAAATCGAAAGTTAGGATTTTGTTCCCGTCTTGAGGCCAGCCCGATAAGTTATATCCTAAGTTAAACGAAATTTTATATACAAGAAACCAAAGTAACCTGGTTACTAGCTCAGGAAAAATCTCCTATATAGAGTCTAGTTGAAATTATGGATTATCATTGACTGTAACTAGGAATCGTGAGATTAGTTACGCAGGTAACGTTTGCAAAGAGGATATTCTCAACATACTTCTTATTGACAGCGTGACCTAGAGGCTAATGGAAACGTTTTTAATTGTACCCAGTGAGCTTGGTTCTTTAAGGTTGAAGCTAGTCTGGCGTATTAGTGGAGTTCTCTCCAATCGATGTTTCGTTTCGTCACGCAACGCTTCCTGGGGCGTGGGGGAGAGGTCTGTGGGAGAATGCAGTAAGTTGTAACATCAAATAACGCAACTGTAGAGACAACTGTTGTACATGTTTCAATTTTTGTCATGAAAAGATACGATCATGAATTACGAAAACGATTTCAAGTACATCGCATTTCTGATCGACTCCCTAGTGTATCGCGGTATTCATGTTCATGCCGCTCTTCGCTCGGAACGCGTGAGCTCGGTTGAAAGCTTTAAAAAATTATTTCCTTTAGTAATGGCCCTATCTTAAATTTAGCGTTGGTGAAAGCGGTGAATATTTGCTTCGTAGCAAGGCAAATATCCACCACTATTCACCTCTACTTCGGTGAATAAGTTATTGATTAAACGGGAACTAAGATAAATTGATTTGAAAATAGAAGTGAATGATAACTTGCCATTGGATCTCCTAGAAGCATAAATAATTAGCTCTGGAACCCTACTGTCCTCTGATAGCCTAGATAGTATCCTAAGAAAAAAACGATAGCTCGTTATTAGGACATCGTATGAAAAGTTACTGAGTTGACATACGACTGCACTGTATCATGTAATCACTTATGTAGATCAGTTGGCTTCGAAAAACATCTCACGTCGATTTCAAAAAGCACTTGCTATAAATCGAAGGAAAACTCCGCGCAAGATTGAGAAATAATGGCGCTTGAATTCTGATAACAACAGGTCGCAAGCTTACGGGAGGACCGAATAAAAAGGCTTGAACAAAGGACCTACCAGCCGAGGAAAAGAGCGTCACGTGACGATCCTTTGACCAGTGGTAAGCGTTCGGGGAATCCCCTAGTTAGAAATTCACAGTGCGGTTTTGTTGAAGTCGCCATATTTACGGCTCAACCGCCAGCAAGATTTCTTCTCTTGTTCGAAAACCCCGACAGAAGAGCGTAGTTTGGTCATTTTCATTGAAGTCCTAACAGTATCAGGACAGTGTACGCTTGTTATCGTAAGTTTGGGAATTTATGTTGTGTTAAGCTTCTCATTTAGATTTCTTAGTATGTTTAGACCGTATCTTGTCCCGTAGAACTGTTGCATTGTTGTCAATTTCCTGCGATGTCCTTTCATTTCCGAATTAATTTTTGTGCTCATTCCTACAGACTGTTACAAAGCAGACTGGAGATGGAAAAGTTTAGCGGACAGTTTGGGAAGACTACCAAAAACTCAAAGAAAGTCAAAAGTGAAGATGACTCATCTCATTTTCAAAGCACGGATGAGGAGCTGCTTACTGAATCTCTGTTGTCAGGTGGTTCAACTTTGGCGTTGTGCTCGTTATCTGCATGTGCAACAGGGCCTTTATTAAGGAGTTCTACGTGTGAAGAAGCACCCACTGAATTGACAGAGAACACTTACCAAGAGGGATATGCCAGTGCTAGGCCTTTATTTGATGGTTTAGCAAAGTTGGCTGACTATAATGAGGTAATCAACCAGTTACAAGATGAAATTGCTGCCTATCAGGATCGTTGTCATAAACTAGAGGATGAAATAAATCAATTAAAAAATAAAGTGTCTCAAATGGAAGAAGAGAAACAAGGACTGGAAGCTGAGGTGGGAAGACAGATTTTCCTTGAAAGTAAAGAAAAGCGTCGCAAAAAGATATTTCAGCAGTCACATGGAGATGCCCATGAGCCAAGTAAACTTGCTACAGCAACTGGTACAGTGAGAGGGGCATCTTATGATGAAGGAATACTTTGTGGCCCAGGTTTCATGGAGAGATCAGGTAAAAAATTACAGTACTGTAAACCCTTTAACTCCCAGATGTGATCAACAGCGATAACTTCTTCCTGTGATTCCAAATTGGTATATGTTTTGCAAATAGGTTATGAGAATAAACAGGGTTGTCAGCCAGATGATAATTTACCATCATGATATAACACTAAATTCTCCCCTCTAATTTTACAAGAAAATATATTTTAGTCAGAGGGGGGAGAATTGCATATTGGATCTTGGGATTTAAAGGGTCATGTTGAAACTTAGAGACCCCTAAACAATTCTCTTTGTTTTAACACACAGTTGCCTAATGGTTCCATACAGTAACAATTTTCTTTTTCATTGCTTGGGCAATGGTATATTATTTTTGATGGTCATTACTTGTGGTCAAGCTAGGGTTTCTTTCTTGATGCGAGACATCTAAATTGCAACACTCTTTCTAAGAAGCAGCTTCAATTTACAGTATGCTCTTTGTGCCTCCCAGCTTGAAAATTGTTGAAATGTTATCAGAACAAGTAGTCACCCCTAGCAATATTAAGTAACAATCAGGCTTTGACAGAAGGTTGAAATTACTCAAGAAAGTTAGGAATGCCATTATGTACCCACAAAGAAATCAAATTATGGTATTTAAATCCTAAATTGCATTGGTTGAGTCTCTTTTTGTAGTGATTTTCCTCTGAAATTCAACAACAATAGCCCAGAAGATTCCTTACTTTTTTTTGAGAAACAGTACCTTGAAAGACTTTCAAGGTACTGTTTCTCAAAAAAAAGTTGAAGAATTGTATATGCACTTACGATGTTATTTGGACTCTTCCATTTGGGTCTCATATTTCAGCCAGTACAATAGTTGCAGACATCCTGTCAACATCAAGTTCTGTTTCAGTACAACGTGTATGCAATAACTTTTTGTGCTAAAATTTTATGTGGACTTCTGTGTATTTCCATATGAATGACTGTATCTGCATGCATTTATTTTATTTAATTCAAGACAAATGTGCATTTAAAGGCCCATTTCCAACCCTGTTGCTGCGCAGTCGTTTGTTTTTGTTTTGAGCCGCCAATTTTGTTTGAATCCCTTAGGAAAAAAGTGCCTATTTTATATCTATTTTTTAAACTATTTTCTACCTATTTTTTGTGCATTTTTTCTCTATTTTCCAGACTATTTGAAAGCTGTTTTTTAACTATTTTAAAGCTATTATTTTGAAACAAAAAATAGTAAAAAATAGTCTGGTTGGCAAGTCATAACTACTGTAAAAATAGCTTTCAAATAGAGAAAATACGTATGCAATTCATTGATAAAATAGTATTAAAATAGCATTAATGAAAATATTAGTTATAAAATAAAATAGACATAAAACAGGGATAAAATAGAAAAAAAAAACAAAAATAGGATG